TTAGATGCTCGCGGAGGTATGCACTCTCCGTGAGTGCCCTCTGTCTAGTTATTATTGCGCCTGTTCGGTTTATCCATGTCGCAAATACTCCATACTGTTGCCGCAGCTTTGCCTGTGTCTCAACACCTTACCACACAGCTATAGTTCGTATATAGGGTTCGGTGCTCTCATTTCCCATGGCGCTATTGCTCTACGATTCACCTGCTGCAGCGTCACTGCTGCTGCAGCGTCACTGCTGCTGCGGAGTCACTGCTGCTGCAGCGTCACTGCTGCTGCGGAGTCACTGCTGCTGCGGGTATCGCATCATCTTCACGTCCGCTTTCATTGCTCAGGCGGCATTTCACAAGCTTCCCGGATCTGTCCAGCTAAGATACGCGGTGCGCCATACAGGTTTTGTTGAACCGCAGTGTTATATATAGCTATCTCGCAGTTTTCTTATCATATTCGCCTCAGCTTTCACATCCTCAGGCGACAGCTTTCCGTTTTTCATTTTACAAGCTTGTCGGATCTGTCCAGCTAGGATACATCTTTCGCTATACAGGTTATGTTGAACCAGAGTGTTTTATAGAGCTTCACCATCCTTTATTCGTTCACATCTCCATCCGACATCCCGCAACTCAGCATCCTCGAAGTTTCAGCATCCGCCATTCAGCAGTTTCCACATCATCTCCAGCTTCAGCTTCATCATCCTTTACGCCTCAGTACCGGCATCTCCCACGTCGCGCATCTTGCATAATACCACGAACGTGTTTAGTTTCTCTCTGTTAGTCAATCACAACAACAACAACAAAATATCCTCCCCCCATCGCGTGCGTTGTTAACCAAATAATGCAAAGAGCGCATAAATTTAATATTATCAGTTCTTCGGCATATTGTTAATTAATTCAGAGAAGCATTAGTTAGATTAGCTTAAAGGTTGGCCTTCGTTTAGATCATATAATGGCCAGGCAATATATTGGTTCACTAAACCTACGATATCTAACTCCCAAAGAGACCCTAGCTTTAGGAAAATTGTGACGTTTCGTAACTCCTATATAGGTTAATGTATGGGCAGATGCATATGAACACTTCTATAACAATGTGTAATTAATGGATAGACAGGTACGTCATGTTGGTATATGAGGCAGGGAATCGATTTGTTCATATGCCTATAACTCTTATACGGGAAGCTAGGCAATCCCAGGTAGCAGTCATCGTCGGGATTTCACTCCCAGGTGGCTCGTAATGGTATTTATATTACCAGGAGTGAATAATATAGAGAAACTCTATTATTCACTCCTGATATTACTCATCGGCTGGCTGACTTTGCAGATGTGCCCCCCCCCCAATATATACATAACATCATTATAAAGTTATGCAAGTAACGTTGCTTATTTGTAATTCCTGTGTCCAGCACTTCCGCCTAGCTAGGCATTCGCGCTCCCGTCGAGCATGCATGGGGTAATATGGCGGTTTACGATTCGCGGTTATCTGCGCGTTTCAGCTGTATACAGCAATTTCTGTCTCGTCTGGCATGTAATCTCGCGCGCAGAATTGTACATATTCCGCCCTTTTACCCGTTTCTGGTGTAGCACGCGCTCGCACATGCACGCACGCACACACGCACGCATACATACACGCGCCCACACACACATGCACGCACGCACACACGCACGCATACATACACGCCCCCCCCCACACACACACGCACACGCACACAAACGCAAGCGCGCACACACACACGCACATAAACGCAAGCACGCAATATACGCGCGCAACCGCTTACACACGCAAATTATCTACGATACGCAGCACGATTTAAACCATAGAATACGAGCAGCATGCAGGCTCGGCAAAATTGCTTCCTAAATTACGCGTGAAATTATGCGTGAAGTTAACGCGAATCTGCGTAAAGTAGTAGTTAGAATGTTACATGCAGACGTGTAATCGGCACATATATAGCGTGGCCGACGATCAAATAGTATGATTGCTGCTGCACGGAAGCTAACAGCAACCAATTAATGTGCTTTGTCGCCGACAATGTGTTCATGTGTGGCCACGCAACGTGCGTTATAGTTACCTACCCCTTCCCCCCGCGTCACCACCCAGTCGCTACATCTTTCGCATGATAGTTTTCCGAATTTATCCGGGCTTCTCTCTCAGTCAGATATTTTTTATTGTTTGAAAATAGCGTGTACAGCTTACGATAAATGGAGTAAATAGGCACTGTTCAATTTCAGGAGTTTGAGATACTGGCTGTCATAGTTTCTCTTTTCGCACACATTGTGCGCCTACTCGGTTTCACGGGCTGTCTTTCTCATACGTTCGCGTTTGGCTCACAATTTTTGTCTCGATGATTAGGGAGGAAAGCGTACTAGCGGCTGTGATGTGCATGCTTTCTTGAATGTTTTGTTGCGAGATACCCCCCGCGCTTAGTAACGGCCTAGTTTGGCGGCAGTGTGACCGCTTCATACTTGAAGATATTCACTACTCTGTGTGTGTCTGCCTCAAGGAGGTGACCACGCGATGAATCTAGTTTAGCTGCTTCCCAGACTATGCAGATTTTCGTTATTCTTCACCCCCCAACACGGATGCGCGGGTTGCTATTCTAAATAGTAGTGGCGATAATTACGTGATCTTAATAACCAAAACATACACCGCGTTCTGACTTTTTCGATCTCCCGTGCTACCCTACACAACATCGGAGCGCTAAAAGGAGATGCGCCAAAATATGTTAGAGAGAATTAGGGGGCACTTCAGCTTAAGTGCCCCCCCCCCATCAGCAGTTCCAACCTTTTCATCAGGGTCGACAAGACAGGGGTTGTGATGTTATCGAATGCTCGTTAATATATACGTTGAGCGATACGTTGGGCATATACGTTGAGCATGACGGTCTTCCTGCTTTTTAGCAATTACGTATACCCGGAGGTTTTTAGCGATTTCCTCTATATGAGACAGAGAGAGAGAGAGAGAGAGAGCGAGAGAGAGAGAGTGAGAGAGCGAGAGAGAGAGAGGGGAGGGGGGGAGGGTAACATTTTCATTCTACACAGTAGCAGAGCCGCTATAACTTTATCCTTCGCATGCCCTTGGCTATTTAATGATGCTGACTCATACGATTGGCTTACTCAACCATTCACGGGATAGCCCACCGACGTCGTTAATCTATGTGAAATACATCACGAATACCACCATATTGAGTTTGGTGTTCGTGTTTATATAGATCAAGAGTAGATAATAACACATTATATAATAATGTGTTATTATCTACTCTTGATATAGATGTACTCGTTTCAGGATCACGTAAACTAAAAAAATAAAAAATAAAAAACTAGACAAATAAGATGTCAGATCAAATGAAAAGGTAGTTACTTTCTGCTTGGATTACGCGTTTCTACGGCAGATGAACTCGTTCAGATTCAGTAAAAATAAGAAAAACTAGAGAATAAAAACTAGACAAATGACATATGTCAGATCAAACAAAAAGGTAGCTAATTTCTGCGCGGAATACGTGTTTCTACAAATGATGAACTCGTTTCAGGTTCAGTAAAAATAAGAAAGACTAGAGAATAAAAAAACTAGACAAATACAATGTCACATCAAACTAAAAGGTAGCTACATTCTGCATGGATCACGCGTTTCTACGGCATAGAAGTAGCGTTTCACACGCATGCGCTTTTCTCGCAGGCCAGTTGCAGTACGCCGGAGCCAAGCAGGGCCCCTCACGGCTCGACGGCTCGCTAAAGACCAACGGTCAGCTGAACGACGAATTGACCAGTGGTGTGAGCAATCAACTCCACGCTCTTGGCCTTGCCGCGCAAGAAGTGCCATTGTCGTCGCTCGAGAATGTGGCCGACGAAGTCTCCGACGACGACGGTTGGGGTAAATACGAACGTAAGAGTAACAAGAGCAATCGGAGATAGCAAACCTCCGCCAGAGCGTAATAGTCCCTCCGATCTTGCGGGTACACCCAATATAGAGTTTGATGAAATTTTCAGAAATTTGGAAGAAAAAAAGAGAAAAAGATCCAGGATTGATGCGTCCGAAGTCTTCCCTACAAACAAAAGTCTAAAAAAAATCCTGGATCCAGATCTGGATCCGGATCATCACCAAAATCTAATCGATTGGTTTTTGGCCCGCGACCAACCCGTCCAAAAAAATCCATCAAAATCCGTCGGTAACTTTTTGAGATATTCTGTTGACAGACAAACAACCCAGCAAACAAACCAACAAACCAACAAACAAACTAACAGGGGCGAAAACATAACCTTGGCGGAGGTACAAATCGTTGGTCGCGGCTACTAGATTGTGAGCGTGTTTGCTCATCATTCGATGCAGCGGGTGTTGCCGCGAATCTCACGAGAACGATTTGCTGTCAGTAGCGCCGACGAGGATTTTTTTAATGACGAAAACAGAGGCGGATATCAGAGCGAAGAGTGACAATCCGAAATCAACGGAAATTTCACGTGAAATGACATGGCAACTTTTACATGGTTTGCATGTTCTTGTCGCGCGCATAAGGTTATCATATTATTATATTGCGGCTTATAAGAATATTATAATTAATTTAACATGAACTTAATTGGTTGGTGGCTGGGTGAGTGAGCGCGTGACTAGGTGAGCGCGCGCGTGTGTGTGTGCGTGTGTGTGTGTGTGTGGGGGGGGGGGGTGTATGTGTGCGTGTGCGTGTGTGTGTGCGCGCGCGTGTGCGTGTGTGTGTGCGTGTGCGTGTGCGTGTGCGTGTGCGTGTGCGTGTGCGTGTG